AAAACCCTGTTTTTTTTTTCTTTTTTTTTTTTTTTTTTTTTTTTTTTTTTTAATTTCTCTCGCCTTTTCGGTGCCATCTGCTGGCACGACGTACAGCACTTGACAGTTTCAAGGTAGGCTGGTATCATCCGTAACCCGAGATTTTTCTTTTCAGCCTGTTACGGTAGCAGTCAGGCTCCGAGACGTACAACGTTTGGTTTGTCAATTTAGCTTCGTGTGAACTGGTGGTTTTAATTCAGTACTTCAAATTAAGTACGACTCCTTTGCGGGTCCCCTGGCGTGCCTGAATCGTATACTTATCAATTATATGATATGATTAATTATATGATTAATTATATGATTAATTATGATTAATTATATGATTAATTATATGATTAATTATGATTAATTATATGATTAATTATATGACTAATTCTGTTATTAGTTACATAATTAAATATAGTAATACGTTATATGATTAATTAATTATATGATTAATTATATTATTAATTATATAATTACTTCTGTTATTAGTTGTATAATTAAATATAGTATTACGTAACGTTTGATTTTATTCACGGTGTGGGGAGAAGGAATTAGAAATTATGAATTTCAAGTTTATGAAGTATCATAAGCTAATAGTAATGGATAAGTGAAGAAAAAAAAAAAGAAGAAATTTCCGAATAAAGACGAGCTGTTTGGAGACGATAATAAAGATATAATATAAATGAATAGGATTAAGAAATTCGAGTAGAAAGATAAACACACTTGTTTTAACTGTTCTTTTTCTTCGTTTTCACTTTTTTGTTAAAATCGTTTAAACGGTAGAAAAGTGAAAATGAGTACAAAGAGAGAAAACAACGATAAAAAAGAGTGAATGGGTTGGTTTAAAAAAAAAAAGAAAAAAAAAAGAAGAAAAAAAGACATTGATTCAGGATCAGCGAAGCGAAAATTAATATAAATACGTAAATAGGTCTGAAATTCTCTCATATTATAATATGATGAACTGAATATAGCTTTGAATAATATGGATGAACTGATACAGGTCGCGTGTTCGATTCTCTCATAATGATGGTGAATGAAGAACATGTTAAAGATCAATGAATAGGGGGGTGAGCATTTGAGGGAAAAAAAACTTTTAATTACGATAAAAAATTATATTAAATCGTGGTAATGCGGAGATGGTATTAAGATAAATAAGTAGGATTTAAAAAAAAAAAAAAAAAAAGTAGGGCGAAGATTCGACGAAGAATCACACTGATGCTGAAGAAGGAAAGGATTGCAATTTGGCGTCAAAGGGACATATATCAACACGATTTAAAGATAAATAATTATATTAAATCGTGGTAATGCGGAGATGGTATTAAGATAAATGAGTAGGATTAAAAAAAAAAAAAACTGGGGGGAAGATTCACCGAAGAATCACTGAATCAGATGCTGAAGAAGGAAAGGATTGTAGCAATTTGGCGTCAAATGGACATTTGTCAACACGATTTTACGATAAATAATTATAATTATATTAAATCGTGGTAATGCGGAGATGTTATTAAGATAAATGAGTAGGATAAAAAAAAAAAGAAAAAAGAAGGGCGAAGATGCGCCGAAGAATCACTGATGCTGAAGAAGGAAAGGATCGCAGCAATTTGGCGTCAAATGGACATATATTAACACGATTTGAGGGAAATGAATACGGATTGAGATGAGGAGAAATAGGGTTGTTTAGATGTAAATGAATTAGGGTTAATAATAATATTATTCAGTATAATAAAACGAAAAATGGGATGAGTGGAATATGTTTTTAAAAATAATAATAGCATGTAGAATAAAAGATTAAGATTCCTATAAATCGTGTAGTATTATGTTATCAGTCTTAATAAAAATGAAAATACGATGGAGGCGAAAGATGGTCGCTTCATCAATACGCAGGAGGCCAGAAAAGCCCGCAATCAAGGGACATACATTCTGGAGGGGTACCGGTTAATACGGGGCGAGATCACCCCCCCCCCCCCAAAAAAAAAAAAAAAAGAAAAAGAAAAAAAAAAGGGCAAGATGGCCACCATTATTACGGACAACAACAGGCTGGATTGGAAGATGACGTGGTATACGTCAGATCAGAGAATAGCCTGCCATGAGATGGAATGGATGGGCCACGGAAGAAGAATATATGACAGTGGAATAGCAGACGAGGAGGGAAGGGAAGGCAGGACTTGGGGTCAGATCCCACCACCCTGGATTATTCATTTTTGACCCTCGATTACGAAGATCAACGGTCAGAAATGAACAATAGGGGCTAGTGGGATCTGGCCCTTACCACGCACGATTCGAATGAAGTGAAGGGGTATCAGACACATGGGAGTAGTCATCGGGGCCTGAGAGGAAGAGGAGGGAAGGGCAAGCTGACAGTCTGTCTATCCGTCTACATGGGAGTAGTCGATGGTGGTCAGGGTCCTTGTGGCAAAACGGAAGGAGGCGTGAAGGTCCGCTGACCATGTATGTCATGCTTTTGACTTGCTGGGGGGATAGGACTCGGACTGGCGGTACCCAGAATGGGCAAGGAGCCAGGACCAGAACGACCTGTTAATTATTGAAAAAAAGAAAAAAAAAAGGATGGAGGAGGAGGAATATGATGGTTATTTTCGTTTTTTGAAGAAGGATGAAGATAAAGAATGAGCGGGAAAGGAGGGTGAGGAGAAGGAAGAGGAGGAAGAGGAGGAGGAGAAGGAAGAGGAGAAGGAAGAGGAGGAAGAGAAGGACGCGGAGGGGGAGGATGAGGAGAAGTGCGCGAAAGAGCAGGAGGAGAAGGAAGAGGAGAAGGACGTGGAGGGGGATGAGGAGAAGTCCGCGAAAGAGGAAGAGGAAGGAGGAGGAGGAGGAGGAGGAGAAACGAGGAGGAAGAAAAGGAGGAAGAGGAAGAGAAGATGGAGAAGGACGAGAAGGACGACGATGAGGAGGAGGAGGGAGAGGAGACTGACAACAACACTCCATATGGGGCTTCACGCTTTCCTCGGTCCTCGGCTCTAAACTATTGATTTGATTTGATTTGGATTGATTGATTGATTGATTGATTGATTGATTGATTGATTGATTAAGAATATGTCCGTGTGGCCACAGCTCAGGAAGAGGAAGGTCGCGTGTTCGATTCTCTGGAGATGAACTTTCGTTCAACTCGTGCGACTGCCATCCTCCCCCCCACCTCCCCCCCCCGAATAGAACGCAAGGTCATTATAGCTGTAATTGGAGAATTTTCTAGTCCGTAGATGCAATCATAATCACCGTGCGTTGTATTCGGGGCAACACGATACCGGCCAGCTCTCTTATTCTCCTCCTCCTCCTCCTCCTCCTCCTCTTGTTGTTATTGTTATTGTTCTTAGAGAATCTTAGGCGAGGTCCCACTAGCAGAGAGGATTGCATTAAATGCCTGAATCTGGACGTGTTTTCGGAAACGTGCAGAAAATCGAGATTGAACTGCTTTTCTGCATCTCTGCTTAAAAGCCGTCCAGATTCACGAGCTTTTAATCCAATCCTCGTTGCTATGGTAGTGGGACGTCGCCCCTGAGGATTGCAGATTTCTTAGTTTTATAGCGTTTAATAATCGATTGTGAGGAGATATAAAATCATATAATACTGTAGTAATAGGACATATTTTGAAGGGAATCTATCCTTAAATCAGGTCAGGTTCATCCGGGACAGTCGCCCCTGAGGATTGCAGATTTCTTAGTTTTATAGCGTTTGATAATGGACTGTATGTGAGGAGATATAATAGTAATCGGAGATTTTTGTGAAGGGAATCTGTCCACAAGTCAGGTCAGGTTCATCCGGGACAGTCGTCGTTCGATTATCATGCCCTAAGATTTATGTGAGATAAACGGTCTTTTTTTTTTCTAATTTTATTTTGTATTTATTTTGTTTTTTCCTTTCTACTTTTCCAGTGATTCAATTTTCGTATGTGACGATATATATATC